TACACAATCCAGCTCACTCGCTTATTCACTAAACAATGATTTAAGATCTAAGAGATTGTAATAGTTTTATTTAATACAAGGCATCTGTGGAGGGAGGGGTGCAAAACCCAGGAGTTGGCCTGGGCAAGCATTAGGCTGCTAGAGTAGGACCTGCCTAATATGGGGTACATTGACATTGTGACAGGCTTATGCAATGTATGATCATATAATTTAAATTTCCCCCCATTATTTTTTGCCTTGGTGAGGTGTTTTTAAATAAAACTATTACAATCTCTAAAATTTGAAATCATTGTTTAGTGAATAAGCGAGTGCGCTGGATTCTGTATTTTGTATAATTTGGCCCCAGCAGCACCCTTTAATGTAAGCATGTCCAGGTGAGTGCAGCCCTCTTGGTTTCATTTATATACAGTTGCAAGAGAAAGTATGTGAACCCTTTGGAATGATATGGATTTCTGCATAAATTGGTCATAAAATGTGATCTGATCATCATCTAAGTCACAACAATAGACAATCACAGTCTGCTTAAACTAATAACACACAAAGAATGAAATGTTGCCATGTTTTTATTGAACACACCATGTAAACATTCACAGTGCAGGTGTAAAAAGTATGTGAACCCATGGATTTAATAACTGGTTGAACCTCCTTTGGCAGCAATAACTTCAACCAAATGTTTCCTGTAGTTGCAGATCAGACGTGCACAACGGTCAGTAGTAATTCTTGACCGTTCCTCTTTACAGAACTGTTTCAGTTCAGCAATATTCTTGGGATGTCTGGTGTGAATAGCTTTCTTGAGGTCATGCCACAGCATCTCAATCGGGTTGAGGTCAGGACTCTGACTGGGCCACTTCAGAAGGTGTATTTTCTTCTGTTTAAGCCATTCTGTTGTTGATTTACTTCTATGCTTTGGGTCATTGTCCTGTTGCAACACCCATCTTCTGTTGAGCTTCAGCTGGTAGACAAATGGCCTTCAGTTCTCCTGCAAAATGTCTTGATAAACTTGGGAATTCATTTTTCCTTCCATGATAGCAATCCGTCCAGGCCCTGATGCAGCAGAGCAGCCCCAAACCATGATGCCCCCACCACCATACTTCACAGTTGGGATGAGGTTTTGATGTTGTGCTGTGCCTTTTTTTCGCCACACATAGTGTTGTGTGTTTGTTCCAAACAACTCAAATGTGAGGTAGGCTGAACTTGATGGACGCAAGTCTCTTTTCAGCTATGTAACTATGTAACTATGTAACTCAACTTTGGTTTCATCTGTCCACAGAATATTTTGCCAGTACTGCTGTGGAACATCCAGGTGCTCTTGTGCAAACTGTAAACGTGCAGCAATGTTTTGTTTGGACAGCAGTGGCTTCCTCTGTGGTATCCCCCCATGAAATCCATTCTTGTTTAGTGATTTACATATTGTAGATTTCGCTAACAGGGATGTTAGCATTTGCCAGTGACTTTTGTAAGTCTTTAGCTGACACTCTAGGATTCTTCTTCACCTCACTGAGCAGTCTGTTCTGTGCTCTTGCAGTCATCTTTAAGGACGGCCACTCCTAGGGAGAGTAGCAGCAGTGCTGAACTTTCTCCATTTATAGACAATTTGTCTTACCGTGGACTGATGAACAGCAAGGTTTTTGGAGATACTTTTATAACCCTTTCCAGCTTTATGCAAGTCAACAATTCTTAATCGTAGGTCTTCTGAGAGCTCTTTTGTGCGAGGCATCATTCACATCAGGCAATGCTTCTTGTGAAAAGCAAACCCAGAACTGGTGTGTGTTTTTATAGGGCAGGGCAGCTGTAACCAACACCTCCAATCTCATCTCATTGATTGGACTCCATACCTAAAACCACACTGACGGTGATATGGAGGAGAAGAGTGTAACGGAACCGCTGGCACCCCGACCGGGTACCTTCCGCCGACGGATGCTCTTAGTGCTTTCCGAGGACTCCAAGCACTCTGCCTGACACCATAACCACTGCAGACCCCACGAACCGCCGCAGCTTGGTTGGGGTCTCGCCGTCTCCACCCACTCTGGACCCAGGACCAGGGTCCAGCTTCCAGGAGGTCGACCTCTCTCCGAATTCCAGAGAGCAGGAACAGGAACAAGCTCTTAGCAGAGCTTAGTGATTATACCCTGGGGAGTATAGTGATTATAGCAATCCCCAGAGTGTAGTTTCTCCAATCCCCAAACATGAGCCGAAACTTCATGAAGGTACAAGATGATCTGTTTATTGGCACACAAAGAACCTTCTTTTATGCAGGTCCCCATGCAAGGGGACATCCCACTGGGTGGGACACAGTACAACCAATCACACAATGGTTACATCCCACACATCTCCTCCCCTTAGCCTGAGAGGTAACCCAATTATCCATACATTTTAAAACACACTTTTTACCCAACTTTCATAACTCTAAAACTATACATCACATTCACATAAAACTACATATTCACAATCAATCCATTCAGGGGAACAACATATTAAAAAATGGCCTGAATCAGACCAGGGGTTCAGAAGTTAGCACAAGTATCTTTTGGGGCCTGGCTGGCAGCATAGCTATCTGGCCCAAACTGGTTTCAGAGTCTTCTATCCTGGAGATAATTGAGAAGTAATGCAATTATCTCCAAGGACAGAGGAAAAACTCCATTAGCCACATGGCAGACAAAGGACAACAAAAGACATAAAAATACATACTGTTACATTTATCACATAGAACCTACACATTTCCAATTTACCGAACACATAATAGCATATATAATATTGCAGACCGCCTGAATGCAATCTGCTACACAGTCTTAAAGGGACATTGTTCATTATCTGTCCAGGGATGGTTTTTAAAGGGCCAGCAGCAGCACCATACAAATCCAATATGCCCAAATATTGTACTTGAAGGGCCAAATAACCCAGGGCCATAGTCATGAGGCAAGAGGCTGGCAATCAGGCTCCTCCAACAGCCAGGGGAAAATCCGGTGACAAAAGGCGTTTCGTCACAAAGAGGAGGAGGAGAGTTCCCTGCCCGGCGCTGGAAAGAGGTACATTCCACCCCCTAGAGCCCAGCAGGAGGGGGGCCCTGAGGGCAGGGGCGTATTAGCCGCGAGGCAAACAAGGCATTTGCCTTGGGCGGCATTTTTCAGGGGGCGGCAAAAAACGCCGCCCCCCAAATGCCCAAGGCAAATGCCTTGTTAGAAATACATACAAAGTGATGGGCGGAGCTGCTTAAACCTTGAATGATCTGTAAAACACAATGGTATATATACAAAATAGCGTAGTATGTCTGTCCAATAGTATACAATAAAAGAATAAATAGTGGTTTCACTCACAAAGTTGGAGTCATACCATCATATGACTCTCTTAGTATGCTTCCTTGGACCATTCAGGGCCGTCTATAATATGATTAGGACCCTGGGCAATGCATTTTCTTGGGCCCCATGGGCCCTGTCCCTGCCACTGCCTCACCCCCCAATTACGTCCAACCCGCAATCACACTGACAGACGTACTGGCACATACACACACAGACAGACATTAAAACATTCACAAATACATACTGACACACAAAGTCACTACACACAAATATATACTGGCAGACATACTGACACACACACAGACATACATACACAGACACATACATTAACAGATATACTGACACACACACAAACACATACACTGACAGATATACTAAAACACACAGACACATACACTGACAGACACATGACACACACACACAGGCATACTGACATATACACACACACACACACACACACAGGCATACTGACATATACACAGACAGACGTAATGGCTGATACAGACAGACATTAAACATTCACAGATATATACTGACACACACATACACTGACACACAAATATATCCTGGCAGACATACTGACACACACACACAGAGTTATACATACTGTTACGGCAAAATGCAAATATTACAAGTTTTAGAATGAAATGTTGTATTTCAAACTGTGTACTTTGTCTTTAAGAGATATTGCAAACTGACAAGGTGTTAGAAATGGAACATATTGTTTTTCATAGATGTTTCTTTAAGCAATAACCTCAGTGCATATTATGTTTACGCCATTTTGTCCCAGACGAATTACAATAACAATAATGCATAAACAAGCTTCAAGGCTATGCTACAACTCTTGCAGTACACAATATACTGTGGTAACCCCAAGTTAATGGAACTTCCCCAAATCCTGGAATCTCCCGCGACTGTACACTTACGACTTAGTATAAACAACAGATAACATATTCAGACTTTAAGATGCCATCTTGAACTAAGTCAGGAAAATTTCCATGACGTATACGCCCTTTAGTTATGGCCTTGTATGTTTGCCAAATTAAGGGAGGTCCTAAATTGAATAAAGTAAAAGAAGTGTTACTTTTTCATATTTGAACTACAGTAACCTTAGAATGGAGACACCTAAGGTATAAATAGGTGCACTTTTAAATGTTAAGACACAGAGGAGAGACTTGGAGACAGACGCTGCTCCATCTTAAAATGACAGAGAGGCTGACATGATGACATGTTCAGAAGGGTATGTTAACCTATTAATGATATTTGCAAGCATGTAATTTAATCTTATAAACTCTGCTATAATGGATTTTATATTTTTATATAATAAATATCCAAAAAGACAATCTTGCTTCCAAGACAATCCTTATTTTATATTGTGTTATTATGTTAAATAGAGGATCTCTTACACTATATAAAATTATGGCTAAGATATCTGTATGGTTAGCCCTACTAAGTTCTATGCTTTAAGACATTATAGTGGTAAATAAGGGAACCACCAGCGGTTACAATACATACACACACAGACACATACACTGACAGACATACTGACTGACACACACATACACACACAGACATACTTACATACACACACAGACATACTGACACACAAAGACATGCTGACACACACACACAGACATACTGACATACACACAGAGAGACTGGCACATGAACACAGACAGACATTAAAACATTCACAGATACATACTGACACACACATACACTGACACACAAATATATCCTGGCAGACATACTGACACACACGTACACACACACACACAGAGACATACCTACATACACACACACAGACATACTGGCATACACACAGACATACTGACACACACACTCTGACATACACACACAGACATACTGGCATACACACACACAGACATACTGGCATACACACACAGACATACTGACACACACACATACACACACAGACATACTGGCATACACACAGACATACTGACACACACACAGACATACTGGCATACACACAGACATACTGGCATACACACAGACATACTGGCATACACACAGACATACTGACACACACACACACAGACATACTGACACACACACACACAGACATACTGACACACACACACACAGACATACTGACACACACACACACAGACATACTGGCATACACACAGACATACTGGCATACACACACAGACATACTGACACACACACACACACACACACTGACATACATTTAGCCACCCTCCAGGTTCTTACCTTTTCCTGGAGGGTGGTTTCCCTGGTCCAGTGGCAGGCTGAGGCAGATGGGAGTTCTCCTCTGGAACTCCCCTCCTCCCTGCCTTCCTCCTCCCGTGCGGCTATCTCCGGTGGGAGAAAGTGACGTCACTTCCTCCCAGCCGGCTGCAGAACCGGAAGAGGGGCCCGGTTGCGCTGTTTAAGCGCCACAGCGCCCGACCGGGCCCCTGCTGACACATGCTCCCCGGGTGGCCCTTAGTGCATGGGCCACCCGGGGAGCCTCCTCAGTGTGCGGGAGCCGCACCGCAGGGGCTGCGCAAATCGCGGGGCCCACAGAGCAGCTGCTCTGGGCCCCAGGAGCAACTGGGCCCGGGGAAGCTGCCCCGTTTGCCCAGCGTTAAAGACGGCCCTGGGACCATTCGGGGGTTGTCCAGACCCTTTTGCAGCCAGAATCTTGGTCTTTCTTCTTAATATCTTGATGTTTCCAATAAAGCTGTAAAGTATCCAAATGGTCCAATTGACAATAACACGAAATTGCTGCAAACCACACCATTCCTGGTGTGGTTTGCAGCAATTTCGTGTTATTGTCAATGTGAGTGAAACCATTATTTATTCTTTTATTGTATACTATTGGACAGACATACTACGCTATTTTGTATATATACCATTGTGTTTTACAGATCATTCAAGGTTTAAGCAGCTCCGACTATCACTTTGTATGTATTTCTATGTATTTATGGTGGTGTAGGGGATACCACATATTAGGTGTATTTAGAGCTGCTCACTTTTTTCTTTCTTCCACTTTATGTATGTAGCGGAAAGCCAATAATAAATCCACGAATTCCGCTGGTTCAGAAACGAATCCACAGTCAAGCGCTGAAAACAACAAGGCAATATCCCCAACCTCCCAATAACCGGACGAGACACATGACAGGCGCACAGTCGGATTTGCCGGCATATGCGCTAACCTTACCCCAACCCCCATTAAAACACGGACACCGGTTATACTGTTGGAAATAATTTGTCCACAGCTTTATTAAATTATTAATAAATAATTAAGGAATAACAAATGGGGTCATTGCCAACAAATCTTAATAATGTTAACCTCCCCCATATACATAACATACCCCTAGCAATGACCCCACAATAATAACAATAGATAACAATATAAATAACATGTTAACACAGAAACTGGCCGTCCAATTTGACCACATTTCCACCAGGTTAAATTGTAGGGGTGTACCGAGACACCGCTACCCACCATATCCATTGTAGGGGTGTACCAAGACACCGCTACCCACCATATCCATTGTAGGGGTGTACCAAGACACCGCTACCCACCATATCCATTGTAGGGGTGTACCAAGACACCGCTACCCACCAGTTCCAGTGTAGGGTGTACCAAGACACCACCACACCCCCAGGTTCGGAGCCACCGACGGGCTCGAACCTACCAACCACGTGCAACACCGCCCAATCCACACTAAACCTCAGGATGCCCACTTTCTCCTCCATCTACCCTCCGATTTAACCAGGCCATTCCCCGCCGCTGTGAAAAAACGGGAAATCAACTAACCTAACCAAATACGGGGAGGGTGGGAGGGACAACTGACAGGTAAGCTTAGGTTCAGTTAAAATGGCCACTTCACATAATGGCTGGTATAAATACTCCCCTTATGGCTCCGCCCTACCCAGCATGCTAGCTGTCACTAAATTCCTGTGGCTGCTATGCCTACCTCCTGGCTCTGTCAAGGCCTATTCCTCTTAGCTGCGCTGATCCATGGGCTACATGACAGGTGCACAGTCGGATTTGCCGGCATATGCGCTAACCTTACCCCAACCCCCATTAAAACACGGA